TTGGTTTATACTCTCAGATTTAGTTTCAACCTGCTTGTGCATCAAACTAGGTCAGGGTTCATTATATGAAGACCTCCTTTCGGGCCAATATCTATGGAGGCTGGTTTGGTCAATTTATTAAGGTCATCTGCATCTTGAAGATCATTGTTTTAAAGTCTTTGTCTAGGAGCTGGTCTTTCTTAGTGACAGTTTCTGTTGGTTTATTTTTTTTCCCTTTGAATGGATCATAGTTCCTGTTTTTTGTATGTCTGGTGATGGCTGTTGCTGAAAACCCGTGTTCTCTAGAACTGGGCAGCATATTCCAAAGCAAAGATGAGGTTTCTCTCACCTCCACCAGGCCTGGCTGTTTTTGTTTGTTTGTTTGTTTTTTTACCTTGTTTTTGATGGTTACAGCCTCTTCTACCATGCCAAGGATCAGCCTGGGGAACACACTTAAAGTCTACCCAGCTATTTTCTGAGCTTACATCCTTCTCTGGGCATGTGCCATGACTTTCTAATATCCCCTTGATATGTATCTGCTTTTGTATATACTACTCTTCAATGTCTAGTTCTCAAAAGGGGAAAAGAGGAAAATGAAAGGAAGGAAAAAGGCACTGCCTATTTAAATTCCTTGGCAGTTACTGCAGCCTGCTGAGGAGGGATTTGCAATCTTGGCTTGAAGCAGGCTTGGGTGATTTGCAATGCAGCAATGCCTGTCCCCCTTTACTTCTGCCCATCTACATCAGAAGCAGCAGCCATCAGTAATCAGAATACAGAACCCCACTGGAGATGTAGTGATGGCCTAGCAGTGTGAACCACAGAGTCCCCAATCACCATCACCATCAAACCAAAACAAAACAACACAAAATGCAAGGAAAGAAGAAAAGAAGGGAGGGAAAAAAATACAGATGTGGGAAACAAACTATTGTTTCTTCTTGTCTATCCTGGCTGTTACAAGCTGCTCTAGGAACAAGAACCCTGATGCTTTGCTAAGAGACTACATAGTAGGGGATGAGCTGAAATGGACTAAAACCACTAGTAATCTTCTAGACAAGACTGCCTCTGGAAGCGGGAAGCCTTCAGTGGACTTCAGAGCTCCAAAATCTTTACATCAGATTCTGTCAATATACCTGTGGACTAGGTACAGAGACAGATGCTTGGTACTTTGCCATCTTCCCAGAATCCTCTTCTAAATACCTTTCTAAGTTTTTTTTTCCCCAGAAAGGTGAGTCTTTATATCTACTCCACGAAATTTATTAATTTTTGATGATTAATTTAAAATTAAATTTTCTGGGGCTGGAGAGATAGCTCAGGGTTAAGAATACTCGGTGTTCTTGCAGAAGACCCAGGTTTGAATTCCAGCACCCACATGGCAGCTAACAAGTGCCTATAACTCCAGTTCCAGGGGATCTGATAGCCTCTTCTGTCCTCCAAGGGCATTGCACAACATAGGTGTACTTACATACATGCATGCAGGCAATACACACATACACATAAAATAAAAATAATAAAAAATTAAAATTTTTGTGCCAATAATTTTATGGGCAGAAGAGTCTCCTTGCCTCCCTATTTTCAGGCACGTATTTGAATTCTTCTGCTACACTTTAAGTTGGGAGCCAGATGTTGACAGTATTTATCTTTCAGTTACTCAGCACCCTGAGGATGCTGGGAAAGGCAGCAGAGGCAATGGGGTAATTACAGTCTTCACAAGAGCATTTTTCACTCAAAGTTGTTGAATTTTTGTCGTCTTGAGGTGAGGTTCAATTTATTTTCTTGTCTTTGAGGAAATGGGTCAGTTAAAGAAAAGACCTGTGGGTCCACAACTATTTTTTCATTCCATTGATTTATTTAGTAATGTAATACTGATTCTCAGGATAATTTCTTCCTTTTGTGTTGTAATCTAGTTTTTTCTCTGAATTTCCTTCCCTGTTTAAAAAAAAAAAATCTCAAAGTGACTTTTCTTCTTTCATTCTTTAGCATCAAGAATTATCAACTAAAAGCCAATCATTTCATAGCCTTCACCTGTACCCACTCCTATATGCCTCCCTCTTACCTGTATCTCAGATACAGTATATCTCATCTGTAAATATTTCAGCATGATCTTCAGTCTTCAAACTTTCAGATGTCTCATAGGTACCATAAATGTGTTTTTGTCTGTTTGCTTGAATCAGGATCCAAGTAAGTTCTATACCCCACCACAACTCCCTCTCTCTTTTGGTGTGTGTGTGTGTGTGTGTGTGTGTGTGTGTGTGTGCGTATGCGTATGTGTGTGTATGTGTATGCGTATATATGATTGTGTATGTGTATGATTGTATATAGTATATGTATATTTGTGTGGTGTGTGCACATGTATGTATGGGTCTGTGTATGTAGAAGCCTGAGCTTGGTGCTGGATGTCTTTCTTCCATTGTTTTCCACCTTTATTTTTTGAGACAGAGACTCACTGAACATGAAGCTCATGGATTTGGCTAGCATCCACTTGTCTCTTCAGAAAGTATAGATTTCTTTGTTTGATATTTTGTTTTGCTTGTTATGTCTTAGGAGCTTCTGCTCTTTCTTTAGATGTGTATTTGTGTCAGGTTGAAAATGAAGTACCAGTTAGTATGTCTGTTAGTGTGTGAGTTTAAGAGGAATGAAAGAAAGAAAAAGAAAGAAAGAAAGAAAGACTAAGAGCTGAGTGATCAGGTATCACAAAACCACTGAAGAACACTGTTTCCAACCCATCTTCCCACTACCTCACTGTAAAGAGCATTTCAATTAGCCCTAAGTTCTTGACGGTAATGAAAAAGTTGCTTAGTTTCTCTAAGCAATGAGCAGAGCAGACCAAACATTTGAGATTTATTATTCAATGAGCTTTTCAGTAGTTTTCCTTCATCATTCTAGTGACCATACAATTATCATGCACCAAACACTTTTGAGTATGAAGAGAGATTGGGAAAACAGGCACAGATCAGAACTTTCCTAGACGAGTCATATGATCCCTTAACATTGATTTAACTGTGTAACAGGAGCAGAAATAACTGTGTAGCAGGAACCAGTCTTTGCACCTTCTGGCATGCTTTTTTATTAAACTCTGGGTCCCCTTGCAATTTATATGGCAATAGCCCCATTTACTCTCCTACATTTTGCCGAGGTTTTCTGAAATCTATTTTTAGTATCAATCCTATCTGTCTTTGTATATTTTAGTGGCACTTGAACACCTTTGTGTTCAAGAAAATTTCTATTGAAAAGATGTTAAATAACAAACTTTGGAAATACCATTTGGAAAGGTACTATTTGAAGCTCAACTACCATTTTACAGATTGCTATTAATAATCAATCCCTAGTATTCTTGACCAAGGAGAATGGTCACTTTCTGTTAGATCATCTCACTCTTTATGTCTTATCTTTTCCAGATGTACTTGATTATATTGTTGGGGTGCAGAGCCTGGGCTTGAGTTGAAAGATCAAGAGAAAGATAGTACATTTTAAGACTCTTGCTCTTTAAACATTTTGTTTTTAAAATTATGAATGCAGTGCTTATGATATACTAGGCTATGACTTAAAAGCATTCTTACTTTTTTTGAATGCATACTTAAGCTTGTTAGCTCTTCATTATGATATTGTATTAGATGATTCAGAGGACAGAATGCCAAAAGTGAAATGTATCATAAACCTTATATGTTATTTTTAGAAGAAAATGTCACTGTTTTAGGATACCATGTCAGTGAATAAACAGTACAATTTTTAAAATCTAGAAGATCTGTGAGCAAAACTTTGTGTCTGTCACCACATTTGCTTCTATTATTTGCATTTCATTTTGGGCACAATGTAGTTACCATGAATCACTCTCTTCAGTCTACCAACCAAGTTATTAGTTATGTTTGCCTGTGAGAATCTCAGAAGTTATTTCCCTCAGCAAGTTAATAGTAGCTCAACCTTCAGAGCAACCAACTACTGAAAGCATTACTATGGATACCCTGTTCCCATTAACGATCCTTCTCAAGTAGAATCTTTTTTTGATCTCTTATTCAGCTTTCTTTCCTTTGAAGTTTTTCATTTTCTTTTACTTATCCTCTCTTCATTCCTGTGTCACTCTTTTTCTTTGTGACCTTCCATAGTCAGAACTTAAAAAGAGCAAAGAAATGTTTGAGAGTTGTGTGAAAGGGATGAGAGTACCGGCAGGGGAAGATCTCAATAATATTTTAGCTTAGTTAACACACTTTTGAGTATTTTAGCATAAATGCAAGTTTTCGAGGTTTTTGTAGGTGAATGTGTAAGTAAAGTTTTAAGGAAATGTCCCGACCCGCAGGACACTTCTACAGTGGCACGACGAGTGGGGGTCCTAGAAAGAATGACAAACAAGGAACACGAAGAAAGGGAGCAAGACAGTGTTCTGATCAAGCTCCGTTTATTGAGTACACACAGCGTATATTTATAGTAGGCTCAGAGCGGGGGGAGTGGAAGGCAGGAATAGAGACAAAGGAAGAGGGGCTCTGGTGGAATTTTCCACTAAGGGCTAATTGTCAAAGAGGGGCAGAGGAGTTTGTCTGAGAAGGCATGTTGTTTACATTTCCCAGGATGAACATCTGTAGTAAATCTTTCTCAAGGCTGACTTGACTTGGGTCACAAGTTGTTTTCCCACATTCCTCAACCAGGTATTATCTTATAGAAACTTACAGAAACCCATTAAGACTGTCTTTTCTCAAGGCCATAGAGATTCGCAGGAAACCATAAAGCTGTCTTTTTCTCAAAGCCATAAAGATGTTTGTGGGGTGGCCTTTTGGCTCCCAACAAGGAAATACTTAAGAGTATGAGATGCATGCAAAAAAAAAAAAAATTACATCCAAACAAACTCTACTGGTATTCCCAGTTGTCTTCTTTTTATTAAAAAAACAAGCAAGCTATTTATCCCCCACCCCTCTTTGTGATGTGAATGCTCTGGAGAGATTGGGATAGTCTATCATTCTATTTTGTAAACATATTCCTCATTCTATAATGTCATCATTTTTGGTATTCATGGTAGATTTCTTGTTGTACTTCTAATGTGAATCTCCACTTATTTGCCTTTCTAGGAGGAATATTGCAGACCACCCTGCAGATAGGGTGATATAGTCGCTTAACAAAAAGTGAGAGTTCTTTAGTGTGATTTTCCAAAAGGATATTCTAAGATAATGAAAAGTAATAAAAAATGTTTTCAGGTTGGTTTGAAAACAAATTCTTACTCGACAGCTTAAGAAACTATGGCATACATCGAAGACAAAAATCTGTTTTGCTTTTAACATTTTGGTATATCCCTCCGCCCTACAATTTTTGTTTGCAACAGTTGCCGCCATACTTTGACATGTTTTAAAAGGAAGAGAATTATGCCAAGCAAGCTTTGTGGGTTTCTGAAATTTGGCAGGGAGGAGCCATGTATGAAAGTACAACGGTTGAGTGACATGGGGAGTAGGATTCTTTTGTTGGAGGGAAGGATTCCTTTGAGAGTACTTCCTTGTGGCGATGAGACTTCCCCTCGTGGGAGTGAGACCTTCGCTCAGGTTCCAGAAGGTGAGGTCAACATGTGGTGAGGTCAACGTGGGGGCCAGAGGCAGCTTCTTCGGTTAGCCGGGGCTTTTCGGGCTCCTAAAACTTCCGTGATCAAAGTAAGTGGTGGGGAAGCAACATTTGGTTAAAATCTCTGGGTTGACGCCATGTCCAGTCAGCCAGGCCTGCCAAGCGTGGCCAGCTGCTGCTTGAGGGGGTCAGCTCTGGAGCAGAGGGGGGTGATGCCCGCTCTTCACGGCAGTAGGGGGCCCCGCCGCCGTTGGGGAACACAGGGGAGCAGGGACCCGGAACACTGGGAGACGCCCAGCTCGGGGAGGAAGGAAGGTACTGAACCCCACGCCATGGCCTAGTCGCGGACCCTGCGGGCCTCCGTTCTCTTCCGCTCGCCTCAGGTGCAGTGCGGATCCCTCCGCCGCAGCGTGCACTGCCGGCAGCGCTGCGATCGGCTTTCCGGAAGTGCCCGGATGGAAGGGTAATGGCCGCCATCTGGGACTCGCAGGCAATGGGGACCACGTCAGGTATTTCCTGTGTGCGGAACCACCAAGACCAGTTAGAGTGCCGGGACGCAGAGAGAGAGAGATCAAGGGACAAGGGGCGAATTTGAGGGGTGTCAGTGTCCCCCCAAAGAGATCTAGGGCTCCGCCTCTTCTGATAGGGAGCGCCTGTTAAATAGTCCCGGCCATCAGCGCTTCCGCCTAACTTGCCGCGAAGTTTTTCTAGAGAAGTCGGTGTTCTTTTCACCCAGGTCTGTTGCTGGTTCTTAGAGCTAGCCATTCGCGTCTCAGTTCGGCCAGTTCGAGCTGTGTGAACTCTTCCCGCACACATCTTAGCACTAGGGCGCGCGCTCGGCTACAGTCTACCTCCGCGCGCCCGAGGGACGGCGGAACCCGGGAGAAAGGGGCGGATCGGGCGCGGTCTTGGGGGCGACGCGGGGCGTTCGGCTCGAAGCACCAGTCGTCGTGTGCCGCGGCTGGTGGAAACAGTATGGACATCCCTCAGCCCGCTCCCCTCAAGCTGTAGGTTCGCTGGCCCGGCTCGACGGCATCCCTACTAGGGCCCAGCCCGTGTCTGTTGGGGGCTGTTCGGTGCATAGACTCCCGGCTCCCTGCGCACCACCCTGCCCTCTTCAGAGTTGGGCAAAAGCACCCCTCCCCGCAGACCCCAACCACACCCAGTGGCAGATGAATTTCTTTGTAAATGGCTTTTTCACTTGTAGGGTCCATCTTGAATCTGTTGTTAACATGGTGGCCTCTTTGTCAAGTGGAGGTAGTCTCTTTGGTGATTGGAAGTATACGGGGTGAATGCATATCCGATAATGTATTTAACTCTTAACTAGACCAATGAAACAGATACAGCTTTAAAGTTTAGAAAACAAAAGTTAAGGGTCAGTTTTCTTTTTAGGTTTAAATTTGAGGCATTTAATGTTTGTGGATCATTTCAGTGAGAACATAGATTTTTAAAAAATCTTAAAAGACTAGAAAAAAGCATTTTTTTAAGGAATTAATGAAAATGTTGAACTTTGTGGGACTGTCTCAGGGATGCTGTGCAAGACCTCAAACCACATTGTGGTAGGAACTTCTTTAATCCGACAGTCTTTTTTTTTTTTTTTTTTTTTTTAAGGCAATGGTTTACTAATGGGATTGCTCTTTCTCTGGCAAAACAGATCTGATTGGCATGCACTCTAGGTTCTTATAGTTTGAATAGAGACCATTTAAGTTGACTCTTTGAAATTCCCTAGCATTTTTGGAACTTTATCTGCAAATTTCTACAAATGGGTTTTACCATTCAGCAAACCAGTATTTTTGCGAAATTCATAGAGATGGCTTGTTTTAACACTTTCAGGGTTATTGGCATTTTATGGAGTATGTAAGCCTGTAGACCGCATTGGTCTTCCTAAATTATAATTACCAATTCAAAACATTTTATGTCCGGTGTTAGGAAAGGTTATAGGATGGCAGCTACAGTAAATACCTACACTGGCATTGATAGTGTGTAAACCTTGATGCCCTGGGATTTTTGTCATTGCACACTCTATCTTGCTCTCTTTTCTGGTAACAAGAGCTGTGATTTCAAATGCTTTTATAATTTGAAATATTACAAATGGGAATATTTTAATCAAAAGTGTAATTTGGCTTTAAAATATACCTTACAGTGCCCTTTTAATTTTTTTATTACTTTTTGCAGCCTTTTGTGATTATTCTCAAAACATTGGGTACTTTAGAGCATGTAATAAAACTGGTCTGTCTACCTACCTCTTCTTTTTTTTAATACAAAACTTGAATTTTACATTTCTTCAGCTACTTTACTAAAAGATTTTTGGTAATCACTGTAAGCAGAAGAAAAGGGTTATAACCAGGTTTTGATTTTTTTTTTTTTTTCGTTATCCGATTCCAAGTGTGCAATCTATGAACCCATTCATACTGGGTTTATATGATGAGCAGTTTTTTTTTTATATAGGATATTAGTTGCCAGAAGTGAAAGTTACTGAGATGATTTTTGTAGTGGTAGGGTAACTGGTTCAGAATCAGATGCAGGTGCTAGTTCTACTTTTGTGATTTGGGGCAAGACTAGTTTTCTCTGTATTGTAATAAAAGATGATGATAAATTAGATATAGACGCTTATATTTTTGAGTTGTGACTTCTGTAAATTTGTGACATGTTATCACTGAGTATCAGTGATATGCTTATGCCTAAGTACAGACAAGTTATGCTAAGTTAAATATGAAGTATAATTGAAAAAGAGTACAAAAACTTTTACAACAGTTTTTGGCAGTCACAGTTATAATATCTTGGTTTTCATTTTCAGATATCTTCTCTTCTTTTGGTCACTGTCCCTGATTTTGACATTGTCCACGCATTAAATGGTGTGCCTTTTGTTCCTGGGAAAAGGTATGATAATGATTGGTGTACTGGAGTAGGTAGTCTATTAGTACGTTTTAATATTGGATTAAGTAAACTACATGGTTGCATATATGTGAGTTTTCTAATCTTGAGTTTTAATTTTGGGCAAAAAAAGTGACATACCTGAGTTTTCATTTTAATGGAAGCAAAAATGTAATTTTGGGTTTCATAGTTTATGTTTTATTAGAACTCTCCAGGTGATTTTTAACTGTGTTGTACTAAATACAGAGGTAGTATTAAGGGTTTCTGGATAATTAACAACAGCAGTAAATGTGGTAGAACCATGTCTCAAAGCTGTATAAATGACCAGAAGAGCGTGTGTTTTGATTTAGCAAGTGCTAATTATTCACCTAAAGAAAAACTACAATATGTGTTTACCTTACGATTAATGGTAGCTGCTTTGAGTTAGAAAAGGAACTTGGGAATCACTATAGAATTACAACTGGTTTCTTGGAGATAATCATCTGGACATTCTGATGCTGAGAAAAACAAGGGCAAACGCTCTGCCAACAAATCCGTGGTTTTATATAGAAATATGTGTGTATATATACGCATGTATAAAGGCATTAGAGAATACTGTGTCCTTGTAAAAGTCACAGTGTAATCTAGTTTTGACACAAAGGTGTCTGTCACTTGTTTGTGTTAATTAGGTCGTGGCATCTTTGAAATGAGTACCACAGTATCTTAAAAGTCCCCTCACCAAATGCGTGAAGTGTACACTAGATGAGCTGAACTCAATTATACTTGTCGTACGTCATGAACTTAACAGTACATGGCTTTCTTTTCAGGGTATTTTTTTCACAAAGGTGTGAAATTTTCAGTTTTTAAAGAAATTAACTATCTTAAGTAGGGCAAGAAAGTTGAATTGAGATAATCAGGTAATCATGTTATTCCTTAAGTAACTTCTTTCTGATGACATGTTTGACTTCATGCCAGGAGAATCACGGGGTACTTTGTTGTTTCTTATGTAAATAATGATGAATGTTGGGAGTTTTCTAAACCCTGTTTTATCTGTACTGTTAGAAAAAAGTAACACAATGAAGAGTGAAAAATTACATGAAGCAAAGTAAATAAGAAACTGCAGTGTGATGACTTACTAAAATTATTTAGGTTGTTTAATTGTGAGCAAAATTTGATACTGTGATTGCTGTTGCTATGTGAGTGTCAGAAAACAGACTGTTTCAAAACTTAGGTGTAATAAGGGGACTTTACAGGGATCTCATTTTAAGAAGATCTCTTCACAAATATTAGCTTTATAAAAAAGGCAAATCTGGAATTGGATTTGAAAGGGATGAGTTTTCTCTCTGCCCAGGAGCATTCTGAGAAATCCATGAACAATTCATCCATGTCACGTATAACTCTCCATCCTGCTCCTGCACTTGGTAGTCACTCTTGGGTCACGGTCTGGTCCTGGTGCCCAGCACCACCTTCTGTTCCTGGCCAAGGATGCAGTTCACCTCTGTTCTCTTTCTATATTGATGTCTTAAACTAGTTCACTTCCCAGTAGGGAAGAGCTAAGCCTGGAAATCATGTGGAATGTATGTTCCCACATAGCTCAGAAATGTAATGATCTTAGAGGATCCAGTAAAGGCAGACCCTTGACACTTCCCTAAGGAAGAATGTCTTCTGTGAGAAGCTACTGCCTGGACAGAAAGCACATGTTGGGAAAATCTGTGGCCTGTGGCTGCATATGTTTCCAATAATTGTGATGCCCTACTTCCTCTCTCTAGCACATTCCTTCTCTCCATACTCCTCTGAAAAGACACTCTGGCACTGGGTCTCAGTTGAGGAACAGACTGTTTCTAAGAGCACTGATTCTGCTCTGCAGAAGACCTGGGTTCAATTCCTAGCACCTGCATGGTGGCTAACAACCATTCGTAAGTCTAGTTCCAGGGAATCTGACACCTTCTGACTGCCATGGGCATTGCATGACACAAGTATACTTACATACATGCAGGCAATACACTCATACACATAAAATAATAATAATTTTCTTTAAAAAAAAGGTAAACCCAAAATACAGTAAAACCATCAGTTATTGTTTAAAATTGAGTGGTAAATGGTTGTGGATAATAGAAGACATATGTGTGGCTTGTCAACTAGGTACCTTACCATTGGGGGAAACAACATCCCCCATTGGCTGTCAGCATTGTAATCTTCTAGTTCATGTCTGGTCATCCTTGTTGCAGCAATAATTATCCATTACTCAAGCAGAACTGGTTGAAATTCTTTGACATTGATGTGTGAGACAAAAATGCTCTCTTTCTGAAGTTGCCAATCTGAGAGAGGGCTAGTGACATTGTTTCCCACATGGAAAGGGAAAAAGTGAAGCCATGTAGAGATGAGAGCTGGATGATGATAGCATGCCAGTTTCAGTCTCAGAAATCTTGGTATAGCTGTCTGTAGTTTTTCTTTGGGTTCTGTGAGCTAGCACATCCTTCTTAGTTCCTTGGGATAATAGTTTATATAAATTGGCTTGAGTTGGACTGGAGCAGAAAGTACCATGTTAATTATAAAGGTCTTGCATTTGAGGTGTAGTGTTTGAAGTTAATCATTCACATCTTTCTACAATTTGTCCTTTCTTTCACCTCATAAAAGATACTTTTTATTTCTCATTCATATATGTATTAGTCTTTTATTTAGCGCATATATATATATATATGAATGTCTACTACATAAGTGAATGGTGGACCTTATCTAATACATGTTTTGATATATTTACATAGATCAGTAGGCAAGTGTTAAGAGTAATGGGTACCATGCTAACCCTTTTAATAATATGTAAGAGGAGTTCTTGGGCCTCAGAGATGGCTTAGTGGTTAAGAGAGCTTGCTGTGCAAACTAGAGGACCTGAATTAGAGTGCCCAGCACCCTTGTAAAAGGTGGGCATGACCACGTGACTGTAACCCCAGCAGAGTAGGAGGAGGACCGGCAGAGACATGTGGATCCCAGGAGCTCTCATGCCAGTCACCCTAGCCCCAAACAGTGAGCCTAAGGTTCAGTAAGAGACCCTGTCTCAAAAAATAAGGTGGAGAGTGATGGAGGAAGACACTCTGTGTCCTCTTCTGGTAAGAGCACACGAGTGCTTACACAGATATGCACACTTGGGTGCACAGATGCCCACATACACAGGAGCATATATACCGTGTACGCATGTGTGGAAACACACAAGAATAAGAGGACTTCTTCAAACTCATAGCCTTTGAAGGCTATGAATACATTTATGTATAGAAAACAACATAAAGAGCAGATAAATGAAGGCACATTTTAAGCCTGAGTTCTGATAGGAAGGAAATTAATGATTATTGTTCTATTTAGAAAGGCTTTTTTTTTTTTTGGCTTTTTTTTTTTTTTGGGGTAAACTCACTCTGCCTCTTACAGTGTCGTGTAACAGTCCTTAGGGCTTACATATGCTTGAGGAGAGAGGGTCCTAGAGAATCAAGTCAGTTTCACGGACTTCCCGAAGCTATTGAGTTTTTTACTTTCTGAGCGTATTGAGTTTCCCTGAAGGATGGAATGTTTTACCTCCCCTTAAACCATCCTGTGTCTTAAGCTTTCCTGGCTTTTTTTTTTTTTTGGAGACAGTTTCCCTGTAGCCCCAGCTGGCCTTGAAATCACTATGTATACCAGGTCTTGACCTCACAGAGATCCACATGCCTCTGCAACTGGGATTAAAGGCGTGTGCCACCACGCCTGGCCAAGAACGGTTTTTTAAAAGGCATAACTGTATGCATTTCAACTTAGGAGTAAGGTTTTGAAAGCACAGAATGTTTGAAGAAACTGTGGAGCTGGAAATGATGAGCCGATTCAAGATCAGGTGGAGATTTGTTTGACTGTAACGTGTTTCTTTGGAAATGAGAGACAGGCAGATCAGATTGGCTATTTCACGTAAATTCGTGTATGAGGTATTGGGAAAGCCATGCAGAAATTTTGTTTCTATTGAGATGGAGGTTTCTCTGAGAAAATATTTATATTTCTCTTAGTATAATGCTGTTTTGGTGATGCTGAAATACAAAGTATAACAGAATGATGTAAAATTATTTATTGTAGAAAAGATTTTGTTGTATTGATCTGTCTTGAAGATTAAAAAATATAGTAATGAGCTGAGGATACATATCAGTGGTAAAGTGCTTGCCTAGCGTGTATGAGGCCCTACAATTAGTTCCCGTACTTCAATAAATAAATGATAGAAATAACTTGGAATGCTTATTCTGTTTCTTATATTTTTTTTTCCTCATCTCACTTTTTTGAGAGATCTTTAGTCACAAACAAAACCATACTTCTCTGGAGGTAGAACCAGTTCAAAAGGGATTTGGTAGTAGAGACAGAACGCTAAAAATGAAATTAAAGTAGTTTTGATTACTCATAGAATTCATCTTGAACGGGGTACTGGGAGTGATGTAGAAGTTAATGATATGTCACTCACTCAGTGCTGTTCTTGTCTAGGTTCATGCCTATCTTCTTTCCTCATAGCTAAATTATCTGACCCTCAAATTTAAGAGCATAACAGGTGAAGTATTCTGTTACACTAGGGTTTGCAACCTTAGTTTTAAATGCACAGGTAGTAAACATGCAGGCTTTATGGGCCACCTGACTCTGTTGCTGCTATCAGCTGACATTACACTGTGAAAAGCAGTCATAGATAGTGTGTAGTGAATAAAAATGGCTGTCTCAAGTCAGACTTAACTTAAAAAGCAGGCAGTGGGCCAAATTTGGCTCACAGATTGTAGTTTGCCAACCTCAGTGGTAAACTTAACAAGACATTTCATTCCACAAGTTCACGGTCAGACTTGTCCACCTGCTTGCATATTGTCCTCCCTGCAGTTACTGTAGATGAACTACCTGTGCGTTCTAAGTTTGATGCCAACTTATTTTGTACAGTTCACCTCTTCAAACCTCCTGAAGGGCATTGCTGTTGCATTTCTTTTTCTAGCATCAGTTTTAAAAAAATTTACTAGGTTATTTTCATAAGTGCTCATTCATACTAT